GGGGGGGGGGGGGGGGGGGCTCATATTCATATATTCGTGTTCTGCGTTATTAATTTCGTTTGAAATCGATTGTTTCTATGGTCTGTGAACACGAATATATGAACATGAGCCCCTCCCCCTCAAAATATCGAGCTTGCTACGACACTGTTTAGATTGACGACCAGATTCACTTTTGTGCCCCATAAATGGCGGATATGCAGGGACCTTGTGGGAAAGGCTTTATGAATCAGTGGCTGAATTTGGAACCAAACAAAATAACACGCAAATATTGTTACGGGTAATTAAGATACTATATAGCTTGCGCTAAATGAGGAGAACGACAGGAATGTTGTCAATAAAACTTTTATTTCATTTTAACACCCGTTAACATCCCTCAATCTACATATACAAAACATGTTTTAAACATTCTTAGCTAGCTATTATAACACCAATCACAGCCGAGAAAAATCTTTAGACGCAATATATTATTTTGTCTTGAGTCAACCATGCATACTCTATCAACATATTGAAATATTCTCTTAACGCCATGCAACTCATTCCTGAGAGTTACTAGGCTAGTAAGCTATGCAGGAGCGTCGATATAACTCATAGGTGGATAGGCGGCCTGTTTTCTCGTCAACCGTCAATTTCCCGTTCACTAGTCCTGGTAAACAAGTAATAACTAGTGAGCATGTATCAAACTATCACGTCATCACACAGATTATAATGTCCGCGATATGGTTGTGGTGGAAAACAGGCATACGCCTCGACGTCTACTGCAAGCATTATAAAATATTCTTTCATATACAGTTCAATATAACTACACAAGCGTAAGCTATCTTAGTCTTGGTTTATGCACAAATACTGCCTTTATTCGTCGCGTGCATATTGTATTTTCGTCCATTCAATCTTTTACTTTGACCCATAAACTACTGCCCAATTATTGTTCAAATCACGAACGGAAGCCAATTATATTGCTATATATTGGTTCGTTGAGCAAACTGCAAATACAATTGGCACGTAACGAATTACCATGCAAGATCACATTTTTGCAAAATCCAAGACAAAAACATAGTTATAATAAGTTATATTGTACTTCCATCGATTCTCGAAGTCATGTATTCTATTAACTATTGTAGAAACTACGCTGTAAAGGGCGTTTTTTCATGGTCAGCTAGTAGACTACCGAGATCATGGCTTCATGCATAAATGAATAAACCGTACGTTGATCTACTTGAATAAAATTACGTTTTGTTTTCTATATATACTACTTAATAGCCACGTCTCTTAATTTTATTACATTATATACCTATATACGTACCATAGGACATCTACTCTATTCTTTTCAAATTTTCCATTAGCATTCATCGGTTTGACCGAATTCAATGTTCTTGGCCCGACAGCTCATAAAGCTGATAAATTAAAACTACAACTTTGACTAGCCACATATACCCCTACTCCACAAAAAGCTACGTTCATGCACGGATTTGCATCGGAGAAATATACTGAAAAATATAGTAAAATATAGAAAAATATAGTAAAATATAGAAAAAATATAAAAATATATAGAAAAATATAGCATATAGTATTTATCCAGCATAAAAAGTTATTCCAAATACAATTCCGATATTTCGTGAATGTTTATAACTAGGAGGCTTATAATCTGTGCCGGCTGCCTCGTTTAATTTGTCAGAGACCAGCCCCAGCCTTATTAAATTAACTAAACCTGACAATTCTGTAGCAAGTACTTTATAACGAAGAAAAAAGCACATTTGTATGCAGTTAGAGTCCGGATAACCGTACCGGATAATTATCTAGCTCGTTTAAGAACAACCGCACGATTTGACAATCGCATTCTTTATGTTCATTTTTTTTATAGGTGGTGGTGGGTCATTCTTCTTCTTCTTCTTCGACTTCTGGCTCGTATTGTCGAAATACAAAACAGTCATGGGTTCAAAGTCAGTTGGTACACAGCATGGTTCTCTCGTAGGCTTCGAAACCTGGCTGAAATATGACCACGTGTTGTTATTTCTGTGTTTCACAACACAACGACCAGAACATGTATATGCTCGGTACGTTACTGGCATAACCACCCACGAGTAAATTTTTTGTAGTGGTACGTCTCTGAGATGCCTGCAACAGAGACTCTTTTGCGTTGGATGACAGTCGTCTGTTGTCGTGGCGGTTGGAGTTAGCATTGAATGTCGTTTCTTGAGTCGCTTTTCCCTTCGTTTTAAGTTTAGTTGCAATACCGGTTTATCGACTACAGATGTCTCCACTCCCTTGATTTCGATACGTAATTTTCTCCATGGGTTTTGTAGCCATAGTTTGCTGGGCGTAAAAAGCAGTTTTCTCCATTCGCTGGCATTATCATAGTGTCTATCCATAAAAACCATACGTCGGGGTTGAGTTGATATCTTTTCATATACTTCATACAAGCCCGTGTTACCGTTTACGTGCAGCCATAGTGTCACCTGCTCGATGCGGTAGCTGTCAAGTTTATCCGTAATTTTATATTCAAAAAAGGAAGTCGTGTTGGATTCTCTTGAATCTGAAACATTAAATGATGGCTTATTGTTACAGTTATCCATTGCATGGGGTGTATTGACCTAAAGTTTTCTATGTAAAAAAAAATGTACCAGAGATTTTTACTGTTATATCTCAAAACGTTTTGCCCTGGCTTCCATGTTACCTGATGACACTCCCTTTGTAAATGGAGTAAAATGGCTATTTTTGTGCGAAAATGGACGTGGTAATTTCGTGGTAAATTCCTATTAGAGCATGTGATAAATTATCACATACTAATCACGCCACAAGGGGCTTGTTTAATTAGTTTGTTTACGCCTGTGAGTGTTTTCCCATCATGAGATTGGCAAAAATCGCGGAAGTATTTTGTTGGAACATCATTCAGACCAACTTGAGAAATTTTGTTGGGCAATTTTAGGTTCCCACATGCATTTTCACAGTTCAGTTCCTAACTAATGGTGTTGTGGATATAAACATGTGTTATCGGTTCATTTGTATCGCTGTAGTTTCATGATCACCATAATCGAATAATCGCATGGCCAATGAAAACCAATAATACTGATTGACAAAGCAACCATAGCAATTATGAAGGCTCAAGGCACAAGATCTTATTTTTCCAATGTAAGACATTTGGTGAAAACCAACTGAACTATGCATGGGCTGTTCGTATGAACTTGGCTAATTGGGAAAGTCACTCGAGCTAAATCTGCATTGCCTTTGTCAGCTTTGTTAACGCGCCTTATAAAATTCAATTTGTGTTCATATATATGGATACATTTTCCACACGAATTAAGGCTAAATTATGCCACTTGAAAACATTAATAGATCTAAACAGACATGCACTACGTATATACTGTAGCTAGTAAAGTCGTAATACATGGTTCAGTGTTTGCATAATTTGCATAAGTCTAGCTATAAGCAGAAAATTATAGGTGGGATAAAAACACTCCAGTATGCCGCGAACGCAGAACATAATTCATCCTGCATGCTCAATCATGGTGAGCTTCCCAGCAAACATGACTTATATATGAACATACACTTCACAATGAAGATCATATATGCAAGATCCATCGGACAATATATGCAAATATGCATGGAGCATGCAAGTTGGCACAACAAAACAAATTTCTTTCGTATCAGATAGATATTCTTCACTATGATTGCTTCTGAAACTGCTTTTAAATTAAATAGCCTTTTCACAAGTTCAATTATTTCGATTTCTGATTTCGGAATAATCACGGTAATAAATTTGCATAAAACGCTCTCTCTCGTTTGCCAGGATAGTCAGGCAAATGCCAATGGGTACGATTGAAATAGGATTTGTGAGCATAATATGTGCCGAAATTATTGGCATCGTGAATTTAATCGATACATTTTTCATATAGGTATTCAATGAATTCTTGAGCGGAAATAAAGTAATGACTTTCATCTGAATTCGCTATAAAAATAATTCATATGTTAATAAGCTATCAATTGCTGTTTATATTTATTCCTTATACCAGGCTCGCGAAAACGTTCTACTGAGTTTTTGTTGAGGTTTTTCGATTTATAGCGCTTTGCCAAAACATAGACCGAAACTATTTATATTAAAATAGCTACACGCGTTTATGCGTCTGGAGGCAAAATACGTATATGAAATATATTTCGACAATCTTAGAATAAATTTGTTGGCAAAACGCTTCCTTATCACCGATCATTAGCTCTAATTATATCAGTTATTCATATAGCCATGTGTAACTAACTAAACCATAACTACGATGGATTAAAAGTAACCCCAAGCCAATTTTTCGTTGGTTCATGTTATCTTCGTTACTTGTGATAAATTCAAATAAATATATGTATCCCGCTATTTTCCAATGAGTTTCTTTCGCCAATTGTAAATCATGCGCATGCAGTTATCTTTAAGAAAACTACAGTTTAAATCGACTAAATTGCATGCAATTGCCAGTATTCGATTACGAGGTCAAATTATGGTAAAATATGACCTTGCATATTTTGGAAGCTGTTTGATGACACCACGATACTGCTAAAGTAATATGTATATTGTTTGAACTTCAGACTCGATAGATGAAATCTCTATTGAAATTACTCCCCCTGATCCAAAATTTGCTCCCTATTAACGTCGATACTAAAATCTGTTGAATCATTATACGAGGTATACTCTACGAGATAACATCTTTAAATAAACGATGACCATACAGTTAATAGAGATTCAAATTCTTCTCTCTCTACTTTCCCTCTATATTGCCTTTGAGGACAATTAATGTTGTAGAAGTTAACACAAACTTACCACTATTTAACGGTTGAAGAATAATTGTTTCCAATGCCCCGTTATCTTCCTCGTGTATTACGTCATCCTCGTCCGTAAAGAGCTCATTTATTATTTCTTTCGGTGGATAGGTAATATTTTTTGGCATTACTGGTTCGCTTGTAAGACCCAAACTTTTCATAAAATTGTCCTTAAATTCTTCTGCTAAAATCTTGCCGATATCGTCTTCTGACAAATCGTTGGGCATACAGTTCCAGCATACACTACCAACTCTGGACGCAACCGCAGCAAGGAACAGCAGTACTCCAATTACTTGAATCGAACGGTTTTCGCACATTTTTTCTTCGTTTTACAGCTTTTACTGCTTTTCTATGTTACACTGGTGACAGTCTCGAGTGATTCTAAGCCCCTTTGGATAGGCACCTTTATATGCGCGTAAACCTGTCAATCTGGTGCACATCTGGGCCAGGAATTTTCATCTATAACGGGGAATAACCACAGCCGTATGTCATTAACTGGCAGAATAATAGATTTTAAAAAGCCATTAGCAAAATAAAACCTGAATTCCTAACGTCAAGGGACTTGTGATGTTGGTTTTCTACGTTCTGTCCTTCTTTTTTGTACAATCAGATCGTGCATATTCCGGGACAACATGGAGTAAATATGATCAGTGGTATTGGAAAATGCTGTATACTTTCGAGCAGCTTGCTTTAATTTCTCGCACATGCGTCCAGAAGTGATAAGAAGACTCCTTCTATAAAAAGACTCCCAAGCTTTCAGGTGAGCGTCATGTGAATTTTAAACATAAATGATCACTATCAAATGATAAAAACACTATCATTGTTCGCATAATGGATCCATTTTTAAAGTATATTTTTCGTTTCTGGTACAATATCGCACAGCAAGTTTGTCATCTGACATAATAAGTGTGCGCTGACAATTCGCTCGTGCGAGAATAGTTACGCATAATACCCTTGATGAAAGAAGCTTCGAAAAATAAATTTAATAATATTAAAACTGTAATATATGCTAATATGCTAGAATTTGAAGCCATGCTAACCATGCTATAACTTGACGTCAATTAAGATTGATTGCTTCTACTTTAAAAGATTTATTGGAGGATAATTGATAATGTGGTGTCTATAGTTTTTGACGATAGCTCCAGTTTTCAAACGTTTGATGCAATGCCAAATAAGGGAAGTGGGTAGTGGATACTGCGCAAATTATGCAAGCTTAGAATCCAGACGGCTGGTGCAATTTTAGCAACCTTTTCAAACATCACTTATTAATTCCTTATAATCGTATAGTCGCTTCAACATCATCATGTACGTTTAAAAATCATTACTAATATCAATAACGACAGGAAGTTGAAAAAATTGTTTGCATTTTTATCCACGAATTGTAGATCATCATCTACTTTACTGAGCTTATAATTGTGCCACTCTTATTTGTTTAAAACTCAGCAACGCAGATAAATGACGTTAAAAAACTCATTAATAATTCATGAAGAAAACACAAAGAAAAATCATGAGCGTGTCGTATCTGTAATCTGTATATGTGATACAGATTCATGTTGATTTACATAAACTTCAACTTTGATTTTCTCGGCTTAGACAACGTTTATTTTTAAAATTACTTCGCCAATGAACTTATAAGATGAGTCGTTTTTTAAGTTGTTTACAACATTCGCGTCCGTGTTGTATCGGATATACAAACTTTCGCCTTCGGCTCGAGTTTGTATATCCGATACAACACGGCCGCTCATGTTGTAAACATTACTTACAATTCCGTTGCACACGACATCGTTAATTATTCCATTTACAAGCGATATTTCACCTTTATGTGTGAATTGACGCCTACATCCTAACCCCGTAGGTGCTTGAACACTTTGTTTGATGTGATTAAAATACAATTAAAATTGCGCACTTCACGGGTAAGAATAACCTGTATTATACATACGTCCCCTTCCGCGCGTTTGCTATTTCAAATCCCCCACAATGAAATGATTGTTGACATGAAACAATAAAATGTTTACTCTCCAAGTGGTATAAAATTAACGATATGATAGGAGCCGCACAATATAGATGTAGTAAAACGTACGAGGCAACATTACGCAACGAGGTGATTAATGAGCCATATGTTCACAAAAACGCGCAATATATTGATTGCGCGAACATAATTTTGAACTGCGGTGGGCGTGCTAAAATGTATACCAGTAACGTGCATGGTTCTCTTTCCAAAACGATGAAATATTTCTCTCATATAGTCAAGAAAACTAAATGCCGCTGCATTTGAATAAATAAGAGCGTTTAAGGTAAATCAGTGGTATTAATTAAAGACGTATGTTTACATCAAGGGGGTATTATAAGGCAAATATGTATTGATTTCATTCATGATATGAACAATAGCTAAGCTCTTGGTAATGAGAGCTACATATATGCATTTGTGCATCAGCTTAATTTTCAAACACGATGGGCACTAATTGAAAGCGATATAGGAGCGCATCAAAACTCTGTTATTAATGCTTTTTTGCGCAAAAATAATTTTGTTGAAGAATCCACGAAAGGTATTATGGTAATTTCAGCAGAAGCTATAGATTGTTCAAAGATTGTGTAATATACCGCAATCGGTTAACTGACCTAGCTTTGCAAATGCATGAGGAGAACAAACACCTATAGGCTATACCGTGCTACATGCAATGAATGTTATTTAAATTAGTACAAATCAGCTAAACACATCGGTATAAACATTAAGTTTCAGCCGGTTGTTTATAACAACAATAGCTTATTTAAAGACACGAGTAATTAATTGCGATTGTGCACCAAAGGCAAAGAGATGCAGAAAGGTAAAAGAGGATAACACCTGAAAATATTACAAAGCAGCGCGTATACAGTGCACAAGATATCGTCTAAATAACCTGCGCTTAATAGTTTAAATACTTCTTCCCCAATTGAAATAAATCAGACCAAAAATACTCTAAATATATATGAAATGAATTAAAGTCATCTAATCCATACGTCAATATATAGCTATTGAGTAGCGATGTTGCATATGTTATTCTGGAAATAGAAAAACAACAAAAATTCAATGTTATTTTCCCACAGGTGTTGTTAAAATAAAGAATATTTAAATTAAGGCAATTGCTGGAATTCAGATGTCTTTATCTAAAAATCATGTACGTCGCCGTAAGGAAAAATAGATTATAGAGATAGAAAGCCGAAAAATGACAAATAAGTGAAGGTTGTACACGAAACAACAATTAGTGCGTGTATACGAAAACAACTCCATAATTGGAACAGAAAAAAATGTACAGAAATTAGTTTATATTGACGAAAATCACAGGAAATTGATGCTGAAGTAGTGAAAGAAACAAAACCTTGCCTCCGAGAGTTATTGGTTTATTGTCACTTATGTAGTTTTACCCCTGCAGTCGAAAGATGCCAATACATAATATTGTAATGAAGAAAGAATACCTAATATTGAATTTTTTCGTATTTCCTGTGTGATTAATGAGGGTATTAGTAATCAGGCTGGAAACGTTGAAGCAATTTCAACGTTATATTCTCATTTCGCACCTCAGGCTAATCGTGAATGAAGTTATAAACAGCAAGATGAACGGTTTCCATATGCGGACAAATTTAAAAATGGTTTTGTATACTCAAATGAGAGAATTTAGATGTATTGATTGACACAAAAATTGCCGTTGTACCCACCCAACAAAAGCATATATAATAACCGAGGAAAACATTAGAGCTTTTATTGCATACTGATTCAGGTGGATGGCGATGGACGATTTGGCAGGCAAAACGTGAATAATGAGAGGGTACAGGGTAAAATGCGCATGAGGCTTTAATTGAATAGGAATCTCAGTATACAAACGATTATATTTCATCCTTTTAACTGCCTTTTTAAACATAACTTCAGTCTTACAGTTGTTCTAGCGGTTTCTATTACTTGTAGTCAAAGTTTGATAATTTATAGCAGACGTCCGCCGCGTGTATAGTTTAACTGAATTTCCTCGCGATAATGAGACCTAATCAGTCTACTGTACTACACTTGCGAGTCCTCAAGTAGACGTACATAGACTTAGTTAAGGGAAAACCAGTACCAGTATTTTCCGCTATCTCCGTCTAGGTATAATAACAGGGATATCGCGAAGAGATTATCTGATTTAGGGAAGAGGAGCTGCTCTGGGTAAGAAGTAAATTCTAGTGGTAGTAAAGCGGCCCAGCAAACCCTAGTTGGACGGTCTGGAGGTATGCTCCTCAAAAAGTTTTAAAATTATACAAGCCTGGAGGACCATGCACCCTCGTTGACCTTTTAGTGTTAGATTGGTGTTCAGCCTCGGTAAATATTGTTATCCATTCATTGAAAGTGTATTTTCAGCCATTTCTCACTGTAATGTGTTTAAAATCAATAATTATGGATGTGTATCGCCTGATGATAGGCAGACATATTTCTGAAAAGGCGGGCCTATTGCTATATTGAAATAAGTAGAAATTCATGTCGATAACTATAGTATAACTTCACGCATAAGTTGGAGAAAACAGTAGTTAATTAGATGCACAAAAATCAGAATGTTATGAGCAACGGTTAAGCGTCACTCCGCAGTTAAAAATGTCACGTATAAGTACGCTTGCCTACCTTAGCTTTGCTTTTGGTTTTAAACTCAATCGTATAAGTCCGTATATGTAATTGTGCAGTGATGCGTGAGTCCAACAGCGCCCCACCGAGCGTGGAGGTTATGAGTGCATTCAGAACGTGACATTGTATATTTTGTTCCAAAAGGGCAAAATTAAATAGATTAATTACACTTGCTATAAATGAAAAATTGAAAAGGAAACAGACTATAACTCGTCATTAAAGATGCATTAGCAAGACGGCAATTATTGGGTGAGGAAGGGGGATTCAGCCCTCCGCATCCCCTGGATAATATCATTATGCGCATGCAATTACAAGACAAAATCAGTTTGTAATGCATATAAATGCGTCGCAACTTCGTGATAAAATGCCATAGTAGTTTCGAATTTCAAATCAGCACATGTAGCCTAGCAATCTCATACCTAACAGCATTAGTAACTATTTTGTTACACGCCTGCACACATTCTACATCAACGGTCTGCATATACAGAATATAGATCCTGAATGTGTGCAAATATATAGTGTGTTCAGTAAAAGTATTAAACGTTGGTCAGTGCCTGGTGTTCGCTTTTTAAAATATTTATCTTGGAAACGAGTATACTCATTTGAAAATATCAGTTCCAACCATTACTCAAACAGGATGCTTTTGTCTTTGGGAAATACACCTCTTGGTTACTTCCGTCCGGCAACATATTATTTCAGTTTACCTAAAATATTGCACATCCCGAGATACAATACGAAACCTGTATCTCAACATGGTTTTGAGGCTTTCGGTTTTCATAAAGGTTACAAAAATTCTACATTTCATTCAAGCAGATTAATTCACGCATTTTACCCTCTCATCCACTTTTTATCCTTTCGCCCGGGTTCACCCCCACCCACTCCCCCCTCACCCCCAACCTTTATCTGCGTTATACCCGTTCGTCTATCCGCGCTTTACCCTAACCGCGATGATGGTATCGTATAGCCTTCGCCTAATTGCTGTCACAAATTTTCAAATAGTTGCTCACTATGGCGACATCCATGCCAGTCTGGTTAGCTCGATTGAGTTTTGCTTTGCGACGTGATTTACGCACGTAAAATAGCAACATTTATGTTACAACTAAATGCATCAACCATGCACCCCCATTTTATTACTCACCCCCATGCAAGTTTAAAAAGGCCGTGCACCTCCACAAGTTTGTACGTAAAAAAAATTTTAAAAAACTTTATTAGATTAGGGTTAAAGGCCTTTTTAGTGTATTCGCTCGCTATAATGCAAAAGTCAGTTTGAGACACGCGTATAGTTGCATCTACCTGCCCCTTTTTGGATACAATTTTGGGATTAACAGTATTCTGGTTTATATACATTTATTTACTACATTTGTCCACAAAGATAGTTGTGGCGCAAAGCCGCAAAGCTATGCAGTGAGATTCTTTCTGATGCTGAGAAAACAACGCTATGAAGTAGATATACGCCATTGCGCAAGGATGGTTGATACAAAACGCTTAAGAACTAACATTGCATTGTTACAGCTTCATCGTGATAACAGCTTGATCATGAGTAATTCACATGCGTTTCGCAGGCTAAACGAGATAGGAATGCGTCCGTGGCACAGTCATTATTGTGTGTCATTATTGTGCTATTTGTGTGACATTTTTATTTTTACTGATATTTTAAGAACCTCTATTGTCGGCACTCCATACATGAATGAGACCATAACATTTTTCTTTCCAGGAATAGGTACAGGTAGGTGCTAAAGCAAGACAAACATCCTGAATTTTCATCAACAATACTGTTTACATGGCTTAATATAAACGTTGCACAAGCAACGTTTATATTAAGCCATGTAAACAATATTGTTGATGAAGATTCAGGATGGTGTTCCAGCCATGTTTGAACTGTGCATGTTACTCATATAATAGTGATAAATGTTGGAATTTTGGGCGTGGATTTCTCAATTTGATTATAAATACTTGCACTATAAAGCGCACATCACACGCGGTTCCTTACTAGGAGAGCGATCTTTCTAGAAATAGCATTGTTATTAATATTTATAAATAGCCATAAATGGCAATGATAGTTTAAGTAAAATATTTTTATAGATCTTTGGTAAACCACTTAGTTTGCGAGAACCACAACTCTCTGAAAAAGTGATTTATCGATAAACAAACGGAGGCAATGTCCAAATTTCATCTTGACGTTTTGCTTACTTTATTTATATCAGGAAAATGTAAGGCATTGCGGGTTTTAACTGGATGCCTTATAATTTGCGGGTGTATAGCCCGCGCGATGAACAATAATAGCCTACGCTAATTCTGAGAGGAAGAGTGCGCCTTGTTTGTTCTTGTTAATGCGCGGAAATAGAAAATCTAGTTTAGTCTGATTCTATTATATGTTAACGGCTTATTGAACTCGTACTCTGTACTGTGAAATATCAGACCGAGTTTTTTTAGTATGCAAAAAACAAAGGTCTGATATTTCACAGTACAGACCGAACAAGCGAGGTCAGTAATCGGTTTATTATATAGCTGAACTGAATCTGTGAGCATATGCTTTTCGCGCAAATTAAATCGGCTATCGTCAGTTTCACTGGGTAACATAATACGGTAGGCATGCATGCTCAATCAAAAAACAGTTTGGTTGTTTGAAATTTTTATCTGTAAATTTTAATGACACACAATTGGAAAATTAAAGTCTGTTTGCAAAGCAAAAATTTCCCGCCAGATAAACGACATCCGGGACACCGGTCCAGATACGGAAAATACGGACCACGGTCCGGATATGGGTCTTTACGGACCGCTTGTCAACCAATCAGAATAGAGAATTTTGAAAAGCCATATAATAAATTGTATTATTATATGGCAAGCATCACTTCCGGTGAAATGGCGGACTATGATTGGCTGAGAAGCACTAGCCTGCGAACAGGCTCTCTTTGAACTCTAGAGAAGCACTTTCAGCGTCCATTAATGTTTTCCTAGTTGAAATTTGAAAATTATAATTAAATTTTTAATAAGATATCTGCGAATGGTTTTTAGTGGAAAAGAAGGACACATTAATTGGTATTTTTTGTTTTCTTCGACCAAACGTGTATGTACCACGCTATTAACATGCATTTCAAGTCACGCATTTCTTGTTTGTTTCAAGTATAAATGCATATAAATGCGATATAATAAACTTTTTATTAATTACAATCTTGGACATAACTGGTTGAGACTATTTTCCCTCCATAGAAAATTCGCATGCATATTTTTATGATAAACTCCACGTACGTTGAATCATGTTACTCTTCTTAAACCCCCGCTCCCCCAACTCAATGTTGAGCTTGTGTCATGATACATTACCAATAATTGTTTCGGCGTTGTTTACAACATTGAACTGGGGGAGGTGGGGGGGGGGGGAGCGGGAGACAAAGTTTGTTTTGTAAATGTTCAATAACTGTAATGTTGAGTGGCTGGAATGGTTTCAAGGGTTTTGTCCAAGATTTTAGCTCGCTCTGTCTCGGAAATATCGGACCTCGGTCTTTTTGTACAAACCTCGCCCTACGGGCTCGGTCTGTACAAAACAAAACCTCGGTCCTATATTTCTCTGTACATACCTCGCGTTCGGTTAATAAGAAGTTATTATTAATATATGGCTTTGCAGAACCCTGGATTCTGATTGGTCGACGTGCGGTCCGTAAAAATGCGTATCCGGGCCGGTTTTCCGTATGTCAATTTGACAGGCTCGAATTTGAAACGTTTTTACACGTTTATAAGGTCGTCACGTGAAGAAAAAGTATCCTTGGATCATTTTTTTAAGAATAAGACGTCTTGGAAATATTAATAAGTACTTGTACCAACACAAATTTAATCGAAAAAGCCGAAGAAAACAAGCCGTTTGAACTCTTACTGGCAACCGTAAGTTTTGTCGGGAAAATTTTTTGATTTGTTTACTTGTTTCAAAAAATAAATAAAGATGAATTTAGCAACTTTAATACCATAATCTAAACAAATATCATATAAACTGGGTTGATAAGCATTGTTTCTGGGAGTGGGGGTTACCGAAAAAGTAGTTCTAAAGCGATTGTTAAACATGCTTTCCGTAAACAATATCCGGTGACGAAACCAAATCCAAACGAAGAAAACTAGCAAATAGTCAAAATACCTTTATAGCGCTCAAGCAAATATATGAAAATCAGAAAATGTGTTTCAGTAAGGAGCCATATAATAAACGGTTTAATACCTCGTTTTTCGGCTCGGTCTGTACGGGAAAGTATTTGCCTTTGGTTTATCCGACAGACCTCGCTCCTTCGTCGCCCGGTCTGTACGTAGTTTTCGAAATACGAAAACCCAGGCAAATATTTTCCCGCACAGACCTCGCTCTCGGTTAATAACCCTTTATTATCACACATTCGGGAAACTTCTTTTTCAAAACAATTGTTCGCACTTTAGCTCTGACGTTATGTGCGGTCATGTCAGTGGATCATGCATGACGTGAATTTTGATCGATGTAGCTATTATCGGAAAAATTAAAAATTAGACGCAAAGTTAATGATAATAAATAACCGGCTTGGAAAGTTCACTATTTTCAAGTTTGGATTTGAAATGAACGGAATTACACGGGTATACAACAAATAACAATACCAGCTCACAAGTCTTTTATTATTTTGTTGTAAAATCACAATAAACCTCATTATCTATGTTGTTCTGGTTTATGCAAAAATGTAGTCTTTTATCCTCACGTGCGTATTGTATTTTTCTCAAGTCAACCAATAGGAATGTTCAAAATGTCCTATTGTTAAAGTCATGGATGGGCAATTGGACAAAACCGTTGCTATGGGCTGGTTGAGCAAAAATACAATACGCACGTGACGATGAAAGACCACATTTTTGCATAAACCTGAACAAAAACATAGATAGTGAGGTTTATTGTAATGCTAATGAGTTTCCAAACCATCTCCTCTATTAACTATAGTCGTATTCATGAAAATTGTTAATTAACTTATGACAATATTATTATAGAGTATAGCAGTGTTCCAGAATTTCCACAATTTATTATACATGCAGTGCATGTGTATAAAAAAGGGTATTCGAATTTCAGCGCGCTATTGTACGTGAATTACTCGGCGTATGAACAATTTTTTTTCATATTCAGAAAGATTAGGCTTGTAGTTATTGAATGACATGTTTTCATGCCAAATGGAGAAAAGATATTAAAATAAGCAAGTACGAGTGCGATAAAAAATGTTAGTCACAATCACATATTTTCACCGCTGTGCCTAATTAAAGCGGTGTATAACAAAAAATGAAGCACTAATTAATCACGAACTTGTCGTAGCTTAGCTAAAATTTATTCCTACTTAATAATTAATAATAATTATGAATATGTGCGTAGTTTATTGATCCATAGCCTATCGCAGGGGAGATGCAGGCTGTGAAACTCATTAGAATAACAATGTAACTCATTATCTGTGTTGGTCAACGTTTATTCATAAATGCACAGGGAGCAGAGGAGTCGAATTTATCTAGTAAAACAAGACAAACACCATCTTACCCTGTCAATTGTAGTATATTTCATTTTAAAATCCCAATGTTCGCATTAAAATGCATATTTATTCATCAAAATTATCGAATATAAAACCAAAATATGAATTTTCATCATTAATATACTCCGCTGCCTTGAATTACCGTAGACTTGTATTTTCTGAAAAGCTAACGAACAATGGCCGCGAGATATCAACGAATAAGAAACGAAAAAAGGGAGGAAACATTGCAGATCTTTCGTCGCATGTGCACCGCAACACCCTATGACGGAAGTCAATAAAACCGGCCATTGACCAATGAGGAGGCAGAACTTTATTTGACAGTTGTAATTGGCATTCGAAAAATTTGAATCAATCATGCATAAACACGAAGCAATACGTCACTTCCGTCATAGGGTGTTGCGGTGCACATCGTACGAAAATAATCGATGAATATCGATCGTCAAATATGTAGGTTAAACGACCGTTTATTAAAATTTATTTCCAAGCGTAGTAAGAATAGATAATTTCTAGCTTGCATACAACATTGTATTGTTTTACTAGATAAACCCGACTCCTCTGCTCCCTGTGATAAATATGGTCTTTCACCGTCACATGTGTATTGTATTTCTACCAAACCACCAAAAGCAATTTCCAGTTGCCATATTGTTCGAGTCACGGATAGATGACTTTCCTAAAACATTGCTATTGGTTAATTGGGTAAAAATACAATACACACGTGGCGGTGAAGGACCAATTAAATTTATGAATAAACGTTGACCAACATAGATAATGAGTTATATTGTTATATTGTTATATTGTTATTCTAATGAGTTTCACAACCATCCGATCCCCTTCGATAGGCTATGATTGATCTGAAGTGAATTTTCATCAACTTAAAGCCTGTTTTCCACCAGGCGGAATTTTGCGCGCGGAGCGGAATCTTTCTTTGTCTTTTCTAATTAGTTCCACCCGAGAAATCACGAGACAAAGAAAAAGTCCGCTCCGCGCGCAAAATTCCGCCTAGTGGAAAACCGGCTTATAAGTCCCAAAGTCCCCAATTACTTAATTTTCAATGGTTTTAGACCCAACTCTCAACGGTGAAAATATGCGATTCTGACTAACATTATTTATCGGATTTGTATTTGCTCATTTTTTATCCATTTGGCCGTGAAGATCATATCACTCAACAGCCTGATCTTTCCGAATATGAAAGAATCTCGTTCATACGCAGAGTAGATCGTCAGAGTAATTCAGATACAATAGCGCGCTGAAGTTCAATTACCTTTTCTTATACACCGGCCCTGTATAATTATTAGGCCTAGCTATAGTATACATTAAAAATTCAATCTGACTACAAGAAACGAACGTTGACAAGGCTTTATAAGATTAAAATTGGTAACTAGTTCCCAAATAACAAATCAGTAAAGTACCAAATAATAATATTACCAAATAACATTTCGTAATGAAACAAATTATTCGTCGTTTATTTCTCAAGTTTAAAACAATTTACTATATTTATAACGTCAAGAATTATTAATGCAATTGACTTTTAAAATAACTATTTTATGCCTTTTTTTAACATAGTAGCTAAGTTAACTAAATATAATTGCACAATAATTATTCCTATGTTTTTAATCTAAACGATTCATAGGCGCAGTCGTCTGAATACGCGCCTCTGGGATTGTGGGTTTGGTTTTCGCTACACGGGTTCTTGCTGCGCACTCATGTGAAAAGAGCCTGTCAACGTTTTGCCGAAAGTCGTGGATTCTCTCCGAGCGCGCCGATTTCCTCCCACAGGGGAAGTTGATAGTGATCGAATGGAAAGTATAATATCTCAATTGTTGTAAGGATAAATAGTCTAGTAGACTAATACTTGGTAGTATACTTGATGATGTAATCGGTCACTGAAAAGCCAGAATGGGGAGTCAACTCAATAACGTATGTGTGTATGTACTGTACGTGTATGTATACTAAATCTAAATGTAAAACTATAAACCGTGTGGAGATCTAAGTTGGAATAATGTCATTACATAGCCTATAATAATGTTAGTCTCAAAATTATCTCTTAGATTGAATTTTTGTTGGCCACTAATAATCAGGTGCGGAAATATCTGGAACACAGCCAAATTGCATTTCTTGCGGCACACTGTACATATCTGATTGTTATAATTTAAATTAACCATTAATGGTAGCTCGCCAAACCTGCGTGGGACATTTCTTGAACACTAGTAATTTTCTATAATAATGTGTTCTGGCTTTTTAATTCCTGCTGAGACTAGTACTAGTAAATGATAACATATTTGCTCAGTTAGCATGCGCCATGCACACGACAAGTCGAGTAACCAGGCAGAGAAACGCACTCAGACCTTCTCTCACCGAGCTCGATTACTTGCATGTACAAGCATGTTGACTTATCAAACTTTAAAAAATGTTCTGCATGATTCTCAATACGAGACCAAGGGACAAGGGAATAACATCCTTATACAGTATAGGATCTAAATGGCAATTAGGAAAATTTGATATCATTTTTAGAATTTTTGTATCTTCAACCGCTGTTCTTCACTATTGTTTAAATTTTGGGTCCGCAGGGGATTATGGAAAAAAATGCCGCGACTGTTTTAGCTCCGGGATAGTGGCTCTGGAATTATATAGAACAACGCAGAATATCGTGACCGGGATGATTACATTTAAATGGGACCAGACACAATTAAACTGTTGATTTATATAACGGTGCATGGTATCAAATAGACCCGTAAAAGGGTTTGAAGTTTCTTAGATCCCGAATTTCCTCTTTTAAAATGCACTTCAAAGTTCAAAGTGCGTAAAAACAATAGAAAATTTGACAGTACATTGCGCCATGATGTATGGAAGAACAAACTATACAGTATAATAATGTAAGTTTCGAGCAATCCTCTGAGACTTCAACACAAATTGAATGCAAATGGAGGTATTATAAATCTATAATGAGATTGAAATGAGATTATTTTGTTTACATGCCCTGTAAGTGCATTGAACATTTGAACTGAAGCCTGATGAAGACATATATGCACCTATATACTTGACTGTATTTATGTTCGATGTATGTGTGAAAGTTCCTCAATTTTCTCTATGCTCCTCATAAGGCAAATGTTCAAATGTTCCTCAGGATCAAAGATCCCGCGAAGATTCCACTAGTTTTCCAGGTCTGGTAGAAAAAGGAACAAAAAATATCTCGAGATAAATCTTAACAGGTCTGGCTATACATAAAAAACCCCAAACCAGCCGACAATTTCAAAAAATATAATCCGAAGAATATGAGAAATTGACTCACTTTGGTTTCAAGATGCTAATCTTCGGATTATGTTTTGTACTACAACTATGTAGAAAATGAGTCCTTAACAATTCAAACACACATGTGTCAGCGTTTATGCCGCCGAACCTACCCCGAGGCCTGAACCGTATGAAGTATGTAAGAAGTTATCAACAATCAAACCTTTCAAATCCAGCGGACCCCACAATATTCTTTGTCGAATTTTAAGGGATTTCGCTTACGAACTTTCAGAGCCTGTTACAACTATTTTTAACGCATCACTCGCATCTGGATCTGTCCCTAAAATCTAGAAGGATTCAGATATTTTCCCTATCCCTAAGAAACAACAGCCTACTTGCGAAGAAGAGACAAGACCTATTTCACTGACATCTTGTCTATGTAAAGTCCTAGAAGACTTTGGTATTTGGAAATATGTTGACGATGTATCAACCTCGAAGGGACTGGCAAAGAACAGCAATTCTATATGCAATCTAAGCTTGCCTCAATCTGTTCTTGGTCCCTACAGAACTATATGAAACTTAACGTTAAAAAATGTAAAGAACTACGCATTTGTTTCCAGAAAGATAAACCTGAACTATTGCCATTATTGATAGATGAACAAGTGGTTGAAATCGTTCAGTCTCATAAAGTTCTTGGTCTTATTATTCAGAACAATCTAAATTGGAACGAACACATTGATTCAGTCGTTTCCAAAGCATCTAAACGGTTGTACATTATCCGCACCTTACGCCGAAGTGGCGTCCCTGCTGAAGATTTACTTGAGATCTATTTCGCGATCATACGCTCAGTGTTAGAGTATTGTTGTGTTGTTTGGCATAATACTTTACCTTCGTATCTTGCTATAACCAGTTAGAACGAGTCCAGAAACGCGCACGTAGAATTATTTTACCAGAATACACCAACACCGCGGAAAAACGTCTGCGCATGCGTCAACCTTACCTGTAATAGTATTGAGGAGAAGCTGTTCCGAACGTTTCCGAAGGCTCAAAATGGCGGTAAAAAGGAGTGACTTCATTGTGCGTCTTTACAGCCACATTTCGAGTGCAAAAATAAACATGTCATTCTAAAAACTAGGAATAAATACAGCCAGA